TGGGACCATCAAGGGAGAAGAATGGAGAGTGGGACCCTACCTAGAGAAGCAGTGATGCCTGAGATGGAGGCAGAGACGATGGCGTGGAGAGATGGAGCAGCTGGGGACTTTAGACACAGAAAGGGAAAGGGGCTGTGTGCTGTCGACTGGGGGCAGACCTGTAGAGTATACCCTTTGGTTGGTTGAGGGGATTGTAGCCATGGCAATGAAACGATATACGATAGGATGAATGTAAACTAATGTTGTCCCATGTAAACTATCACATAATTCATAATAAAACATTTTAAAAATTCCTTTGCTACGACTGACTTTCTTAATCCTTGGAGTATTTGTTGATATATATATATATATATATATATATATTTTTTTTTCCTTCACTTTTCACATTACCATGTCAATTGGAAGAAGCACAGTCAGAATGCTACTTGGAATCCAGGATAACCAGACTTCATCTAATGTAATTCAGACATATTATTAGGAAGATAATTAACCTGGAGAAGGATATCATATTTGGTAAAGTGGAGAACTAGAGAAAAAGAGAAAGACCCCCAATGCAATGGATTGGCACAGTGGCAGCAGCAATGGGCTCATGTGTAGCAAGGACATTGAGGTTTGCACAGGACGGGATATTGTTTTGTTCTGTTGTGTATAAGGCCTCTACGAGTCAGTACTGATATGATGGCAGCTAACAAAAACAACATGTCAGCCTATTCCTTTTCCTCGATCTGCTTTTTGCTGAGATTATCTAGGTTTCCAAGCTATATCCATCTTTCATCACCTTACACCTGGCCTATGATAAACAGTTGGTGCCCCTACCTTCAGTCTTTCTCCATATCTAATTCTTCCTGCATACTGCTATCAGATGAATGTTTCAGCACATCTTCTAATCTCATTTCTTATTATGCCTTCACACAGATTTCTGCTGCTGCTAGCCAAATGTGCTTATCAGCTAAATATGACTTGTTTCTTTTTTCCCTCAATCTTCATATGTGCTATTCTCTGCACTTGGAAAATTTCTGTTCTTCACTACTTTTCCTCCTATTCAGAATTTATCTCTTGCCCAAGTTTTCACCGAATCACCACAATTCACTTATCTACTCTACATATACAATATTCGTTTTCATACACTGAAATGTGTTTTATAAATGTTTCTTTCTTCTGTGCATATGACATGTAAACTATTTGAGGACAAGGACTTCAATATTATACAATATTATATATGTATACAGCCCATATACTTTATGCAATGGACAGTATACACTCAATAAATATTCATTATTGACTTCAGTACCATCTGGAGAAAACAAGGTAGAGTAAACAGCAATAAACCTTAGGGAAGACATGTTTATATGGGTGTAGTTGATTTTATCAGTTTGGATTTTACAGAAATTAGAGTGCTGAATAGCCTTCTCAAATTCACCATCACTGATTTCAGTTCTATTAAGTCAAGTTTGATATGAAAGTGTTTTCAGTGAATGATTTTTAAACAAACCACCCCATACATTCATCAAAGAGACTTAATGTTAAACTTTTAAACTCTGTGTCTTCATAACAAACATCTTAGAACAAAAATGCATGAGTAATAGAAATATTTGAGCCAGACAATTTTCAACATTAAATTCTCTCCCAGAGAAGAGCAAACAACAATTGCAAGTGTTCCATCTTAACTGGCCACTGTGGAACTTTTTTATATCTTAACTTGACTCTGGTTTTATCAGTTCACTTGGGAAATGAATACAAGGAGTGTAAAGATTTATATGTGCAATTTCCAGGATATTTCCCTTGGTCACTACTTAATTTTCTAGAAAACATTTGGTGCAAACCAACCAATTTATTTAAAAATAAAATGCCCAAGGGAAGTAAATGCTTTAAACCAGTGGTTCCATATGCTTGTAAGCCCTTCAAATACCAGTTGTGTCCAGAAGGCGTATCTTTTCCTTTCTTGCCAGAATTTTCTTCCTTCACAAACCTGCCATTTTCCAAGTTGTTGTGGAAGCAATCCTTAGGATACTAGTCATTTCCATGTCCTCTTGAATATCTCTGTGCATTTCTTTTTCACAAATGAACTCGATTTCTTTCTTTCATTGCAATCTGTTTCCCACGTTTAGACTCCACAATGTGAGTTATCAATCTTCAAACCACATGTTAATGTTTCACATTATGCTACCTTGCTTTATAAGAAGCCTACAAGTAAATTTGTACCCCTCACCTTTTATGTCTTTATTTCTAGGAGTGACTGAAAGCAGAACTGATTTACATGTAATTCAATTAATGCTTAGAGAAGTGTGAGGAGAAATATCTTCTTACTTGTTTTCAGGAACCATTAAAATACCTTTCGGAATCTCCTTACTTAGACAGGATCCCATAAACAACCTAATCCATTAGATTCCAGATTTTGTCAAATTAAATGCATGTGCATGTTTTACATTCCTTTGAGCGTTGTTTGTGTTTAGTGTGGTGTTCATTTCCTATACATCTTTTGTGATTGTGCATTTGTCATTTGCCTTATCTTTTCTGACATTTTCAGAATGATTTGCTTTAAATAGCTTCAATTCTAAATTATATGTATATTGTTGATGGCTGAGCTAGATAAATCTTTTATGAATATGTTGGAACTATTTACACCAACAGTTTTCAAGATTTCCAAAATTCATTTCAGTGAAAAATTAAGAAAATGTTTTCCAACAATTAAATTAACTGGAAGAATACATCATGTTCTAGACTAAATACATATGTATTATACCCGTATGAGCTTCACCGTTTTTGTTTTTAAATCTCAGATGAAATCAAATTGTGAAATGCCTTCTAGAAATGCATTTTTATAATGTGCATATTGGGTTCTGAAAATGGTAGAAAAGGTTTCTTGTCAAGTTCCCTAGCACAAGTGTGAATGCTCTGATTTTGAGTACCTACTAGTAGTGAAAGGACACATTGTAGCCAGCCAACTCAAATTGCTACCCACGTTTAATCATTGTAAATAAAGGAAGCAGAGAGACCCATGTTATATTTTGAAAATTGGCATGCTGAATACAGAACTATTCGTTTAAAAATACCACTAAACATTCAATTTGAGTTTATCTATACTTCTGTGTAAAACAAGATAATAAAAAGTACAATTGGTCACTTGAACACATACTATTCACTCCATGCAGGTAATAATGCATTGCATTAAAGAATTACAGTAAATACAATTTTATAACACTTTAGAAAACAGTTAAAAATTGACAAATTTCCACTGTGAAATACTTATAGTTTTATACAGAAGCAAAATCATCTTTGCTAGTGGAAAAAAATTACATCTATGAAACACCTACACATGTGGAATTTACTAATTGTCCCACTGAGAAATGAACTGGTATCACTGCTAAGCTTTCCTGTACTGTTGGTACATAATGCATTTTCAGAAAGGCTGAATATTGAAAAGCAACAGAGAAATAAGTACTTTGAAAGAAAACAATGCATCACAGGAAATCAATAATGAAAGGATGGTGAAAGAAACAATCAAAGCATATATCTAACAGTCTCTTACACATTTATAACTTTCACAATTATAAGCACTGATCAAACTCATTTTTACAAGTTGTGTGCATTTATCCTTGCTCCCATTTGGCTCAAAATATGATTTAAGAAACAGTTACAAAATGTCCAAATCAACCTTGATTAACAACTGACCCCCATAGGCATCTAGATGAATAGTACAACAAATTTGATTAATTGAAAAGAACATAAAGTAGTAATGCACAATAAGTACTAGAATAGGGGCACATCCTTATAGCATATATGCAGTATTTTATTCACAAAGGTTTTCTGATATGGTACAGTCACAGTCACTATGGGAACGTGTGAGAAGTTTAGTCTATCAGATATACTATTTGAAGCACCAGAAACAAAGATACTTCTGCAGGAGCCTTGCACACATGGCCAAGCAGATACTGTTATATACAGAATAGTCTATTTCACAACTACATTTCAGATGCGAATCACTGCAATTGCTGCTCTACCTACCACTAGTAGCTTGAATCATTTAGCACTTCATCTGTGAATATTGTTGTATGACTTGTTTTCTATTGCTGACACTCACAGTCAATATATATTTAAATTCAAACTCCAGTGATGCTCAAAACAAAATTTTAGGCAGACGTTCACATCTTTGTGAAAAACTTAAAGCACATCAAGAGATCTTTGGGGGAAAATATAATTTTTTTATCAAACAATAAGATGTTTTTTCAAAGTTGTAATACTTTTGAAATAAGCTAGGAAGCCATAAGGGTTGCTCAAAAATCATCATTAAAGAACTAATAGCTTGTCTATTCATTTGCTTAAGAAATGCTCATTGCTTATTTACCTACCAGTTTGCCTACATATATAAGTGCCTAATAAAACTAAAGCGTAGTGGTTACGAATCGGGCTGCGAACCTTAAGGTCAGCGGTTCGAAACTACCAGCTGCTCCGCGGGAGAAAGATGAGGCTTTCTACTCCCGTAAAGATTTACACCCTCGGAAACCCTATACAGGGTCGCTATGGGTCGGAACCGACTCGATGGCACATAACAACAACAACAATAAAACTAAAAGCTGTTATTATGAGCTGTTCATGTAGTCTACAAAAGTTGTCCATTATATCAAAGAGTTCTAGACTTTTTGATCAAGTTTTTCTCAGCTGATCTTCCTCTACAAACAGTCTTCCAATGGGGTGCCTCAGTATTTCTTTCTTGATAGTTCCTGGTCTTCCAATGACTCTATAAAAGTATTCTTCCCATTAAACTTCATTGAGAATTTTTTAGTTCAATGTAAGTCCGTAACTTTTCCTTATTTGAAATACCATATAAATGCTGATATGTTCATAAATATAGGGAAGATTGCTGATCTACTAAGCTTCCAGTCCATGGATCATAAAACCTACTCTAAAACAACAGGGTATGTATCTTTTGTCTTTTCAAGAAGAAATCAAAACTGTACATTGGAGAAAGGTACCATACTTAAAAAGCAGGTCCTTCTTTCCCCCCATTATTCTGGAAATATAAACAAAAATATTTAAGTACAAAAACAATTTCTGTGTCTTTTCTTCAAATATTTTTTCAGCACCTTAGCGATATTAGGTGTACTTTATGATTGGTTTGGCAGAAATTATGTATGCTTACATTGTTTTTCAGAAGATTCCGGACTATTACTACCAAATATCACTGGTGAAGCTAAGCTCTTTGGATGATAAAGGTAGCAGAGAACTGTTCCTATGAAATTCTTGGGCATCTTTCAGGGTATTATTAAGGGGTAGTTGTCCATTGAGTAGCGTGAGTGGAAGATTACAATAGGTATGGTGATTGCCTAAGGAAGGTACAGAAAAGGTGGTTGTTGGTATCTCATGTTTATAACCTCTGCAACAGTGCCTCATTTGCATTGAATCTGAATGGTGGAAATCAGGGAGATCAGCTTGAGACGACACCAGAGTGGCCGAAGTACCGGTCATTGCAACAGAGGGTATAGGTTGCAGTTCTCCAAAAAGTCCTTGTTCTGCAGAGTCCAGAACATGGCATCTAGATAGCATTTCCTTTTTCTTGATGGGCATTTCATATACTAAATGCTTCCAAAACTTAGAATTTAATTTGCTGCTTTTGGGTCCCTTCCACTTGATCAGGGACAGAAGTTTGATGCTGCGCTTTAGTGATTCCACTTCCTGGCAGTTCACCTTCCCTTTTAATTCTGTACACTCAATCAAAATCACTTTGATTTCTCCACTGACTAGCATGTTATGGAGTCTGCTATCCAATTCGAAAACACTCCATCCCCGTCTGAGAATATAGTCTGGAGTTAGCAAGATAATAAGTCTTCTGCTTTGCTCAACACATCTTGTGAGATCTTCAATGTATGCTACAAATCACAGAAAGAGAGAAAGAGTAAAACAAAGACATTTCCAGTCTTTAAAGCATTAGGTTTGTGCTCTAACATAACAATGATCCAGTATTTCTCTAAGGTACAAGGCATATTCTTTTGTTGTATTGTACATTCAGAAAGTCTATTTCCTTAAAAGTAATTTTTTTAACAGAAATGTAATGGGTTATAACATTTATTTTCTTTCTCCTCAGTAGGATTTATAGTGGTCTATTGACCAATCTAAACTCTGACTTCTTTAGAGCCTACCTGTATTTCAGCAATTTTTATTTATTCAGTCTTTAATTCTAACAAGATTCCTGGCTAGTACTTTAAATGAACAAACAATCAGCTGGTTGAAGAAAAGAGATACAGAGCATTTTGATAAATTTAGGGTTACTGTTTTTATGGTTCTCCAGTTTTCAGAGATTAAACTATTACAGGATCTATATACACCAACCACTTAGAAGATAGTTGTGACTCACAGGCACTGGAAAATTTCTTCTACAATAATAGCTTATTTCCCAGAATACCATCTGGCCTTTGCAACCAAGGTCCTCTATTTTGTCCTGCAAATCTGGAGATGGGGCTGTGGTATGTGTGCCCATGAGTTTAATTTGAATCAGCTGGGGTATGGTGTGGCCTGAACATTGAAAGAGGAGGAGTTTATCAACTGAGAAGTATTTGCCCCACTCCTTGGAACCGTTCTGAAAGTGAGATGAATACACTATGGCCTTATACAATAGAAAAACACTCAAATTAACTCTGGATTTATTTATTCCATGGAATAATCCATTTGCAATTATGCTTCCCAAAGTGTTATCTGCCAAAAAGGGAACACATGCACATGTTAACAAATGGAGACTTGGACACAGGTGCTGCAACAGAAAGCTATCTTTACTAAGCAGAGCGCAAGGACTTGTCTAATGTGTAGTGCCCTCTAGCAGAAGCAGTGCTTACAGAAGCATAGCAACATTTGTCACTGCAAATCTGCCCAAGGTTATAGACTGCTTTCAAGGAGTCACGTCCAGTGCATAGTGTGGGGGCCACCAGAAATCCCAGTGCAAATCATTTGTAAAGATCTTCAACTTATTTGACAGATGCATATTTTACAGATGATCTCTTTTTCAGGGTTTTATTTCCACCATTTGGCACAAAGAAAACTTTCACAAGTGAAAATGAGTACACCCTACAGATTAACAAACAACAACAAAAAAAACTTTTTAAAAGATATACACAGAAATGCCTATTTAACAATTTATTCTTACTGCTGTTTTGAGTTTTTACTTAACACATTTCAGGACTTTCTCATGCAGTAGTTACAATGTTTTTTACCTGAGGGGATATGGCAAAATCTAATTGGGGATGGAATCTCAAAATAATTTCAAGTGTTTTATTGTAGAGATTAAATATGGGAAGGGATCAGCATTGAAATCTGAAAATAAAACAAAACCAAAACCAAACCAAAGCTAAACTAAAAGCACCACAACAATAGTAATAGGGAAATTATCACTCTGTAGTTATCACTTAGAGAACTGGTGAAACAGAATGGAAGGAAAGGTAGAAAGTTTCAATAGAGTGGAAAAATATTATCCCAATGTATCAACAGCTCTGACTCTTCATTTTCTTCCTTTCTTTCTGCTTCCAAAAAGAAAGAAGTTATGTGGGAAGCTTCATCATTAGAAGTTGGATCTGTAAGATACAGTAAAATAAACTATCATGCATCTTTCCCATTATTCTTTTCACCTTTCCTCAAAAAACAAAACAAAACAAAGAAAAAATCAAAAACAAAAACAAAAACAAAAACAAAAAAACAAAAAGCAAACCAAAACAAACCCAAATTCATGGTATTAGTGCAGAAATCCATGAAAGTACAGTTTTTCAAGGTCAATTATGGCATAATAATTATTTTTATAGAAGATTTCTTTACAAAATAATTTACCAAAGACAACCCTGGGTATTATTTGCTCATTAATTGCATTATTTAACTTAGATTTAAAAAAAATTCATTGTACAAACCTTGTCAGGAACACTTCTGTCATATAAAATATAATTATAAACACAACGCTACAGACAGTCCCCAGATTACTTCAGACTTAGACAACTCCTACTTACCAAGTTATGTGAATTTGCCCTCACTTTGACAAACTGAACAAACCCCTACTCACAACAAATTCTTCATCACAACCAACATCACTTGACACATATGCAGTTTTTAAACCATTGAAAAGGCTTCTAGCCTTTTCTTGCACTAAAAATCCCAAACCAAACCCACTGCAATAGAGTCCATTCTAACTCATTGTTGTTGTTAAGTGCCACTGAGTCAGTTCTGGCTCATTTCCAAGGAGCATACGGTGGGTTTCAACTGCTGACCTTGTGGTTCACAGACCAGTCCTGATCTTACAATGCCATACAACCTTAAATAGAATTTCCAAGGCTGTAATTGTTAAGGGATAAGAAAGCCTCACCTTTCTCCTGCAAAGTGGCTGGTAGGTCTGAGCAGCCAATCTTGCAGTTAGTAGTCCAATGCTTAACTTAAGACTAAATAAAAACTGTATGCATCTCTTCAGACATATCTATAAATTCATTTAGGAATGGATTTCATTTATATCCTGGGCACTGTCTGTATTTGTATGTGTGAGGATGTAATTTAAATTTACTTTTAAATTTATACTTTAAGAAAATTATATATCAATTCCTAGCTCTGTCTACTTAAATAAGCAATAAGAAAAATCCTGATAAATGAAGAAAATATTGACGTTGTCACAGATTTCATTATACTGGGGTCCACAATCAATGCCCATGCAGGCAGTAGTCAATAAATCTAACCATGTATTGAATTAGGCAAATCTGCTGCAAAAGGTCTCTTCAAAGTGTTGAAAAGTAAAAATGCCACTTTGCGGATTAAGGTGCACCAGACCCAAGCCATATGTTGTTGTTGTCTTTTTTTTTTTTTTGAATTTTTTCCTATGTTTATGAAATATGGACAAAGAATGAATAAGGAAGGCCAGAAAAATTGATATATTTGAATTATGGTATTGGTGAAGAATACTGAATATACCATGGACTGCCAGAGGTACTTTGTCTCAGGTACTTTGGACATGTTATCCGGAGTGACCAGTCTCTGGAAAAAGACATCATGCTTGGTACAGTAGAAGGTTAACGAAAAAGAGGAAGATCCCCAACAAGACAGATTGACACAGTGGCTATAAGAATAGATTGAAACATACTAGTGATTGAGGATGGTGCAGGATCAGGCAGTATTTTGATCTGCTGTACATAGGATTGCTATGAGTCAGAATGTTTTTTATGGCACTCAACAGCATCAACATCTACTTAAAAAATGTTTCTTAAATAATAAGACAACCAAGTGTCCATAGTCTTACAAGAAAACATACAGCTACACACTGATTGATTTGATTGGAATCTCATCATCTTTGGCTTTGCTATTCTCTTTCTGGAATAGGGAAAGGAACAGAGTAACAATTTTTCCCAGTAGTTGAGTCTTCTCCCTTCTACTATATTTTGCCATTTGAAAACTAAGAAGAATGCAACATTTAGGGTTCTTGGGGCTTCTTAGGAACTCAATAGACATAATTTACATTTGCCCCCACAAAGAATGCTTGTCAGAACAGATCCCACTCAACTCAGCTGTACAGGGTGTGGGTGTTGAAGGGAACCTTGGAGAGAGGGAGTGGTCCCTGTCTCCTGCATACTATACTGGCTGTGTTTATTCTGGCAAAGTCTAATGGAGAGTTGAGGCAACCATCCAGATAATTCCGGCTGAAAATCTGCTGTGGAAGAAAAAGGTCTGAATTATCCTGGTTTGCCCTATATATACATTAATCATATGCACTGGAGTCAGTCAGTTAGTACATCAAAATTTTCCCTGGGTAGATGCAGCCGAAGTGTCCCAAAAAAAACATGAACCATTTGCTTGGGCCCTGATTCCCATGTTCCATTTCACTTGGTGAAAAACCAAGTGAAAGTTTTCAGATGTGAAGCCCACATTTCACTTCTTGGGATGGTGATCAGTGGCTGGGCAGCAACCTCAGTGTTTGAAAGCAAATGGGGAGGCGCCTCTAAGAGCTGCCTGGCTCTAAGGAAAAGGACTGTGCCCCAGCTTCTCTTTCTGTTTTTCTCTCTGCGTTTTTCTCCTCCAACATACCACCTTTTACCTGTCTACCTCTCTCTCCATTCCTTTAGTTTCCTTTATCTATCTTTTCATTCTCTTTCCCCTTTATTTCCTTCTTTGCTTGTTTCCCACTCTTTTTTTGTCTTCCTCTCTTCCCCTCTCCCCTATCTCCCTTTGTTTCACTGATTCCTCACTTCATAAATCCTTCATTTATTCTTTTTCTTCCAATAAATAAATAATTATCAAACAATTATGGAAGATATAAGTCAATTGGGATGAGACCAAGCAAGCAGAGTTATTTATTTATTTTTGTTGTTGTTGTTATTATTAGTCTTTAGCCAGGGAGTTGTTACTGAATTCTATGCTGCAAGTACCCCAAACAATTTTTTCCTTCATCCTTGGGGTTGCATATTTGTGTTTAATAATAGAGAATCAGAGCCTGACCCATAATGGTACATGTCTTCTTTTTGTATAGCTTATGGGATAAGAATGGTTTGTGTGTTTTTTATTTCATATTTTAAAAGTTATATATAAAAAAAGATAGAAAAGCAAAGAAAATGATGCAACAGAGACCATATGTGACTCACCATGCCTAAAATATTTACTATCTGGATCTTTACAGAGGTTTGCCAATCCATGAATTGGAGAGCAATCAGGGAGCTTGGGTTTGGAAAAATTCCAAAGAAACTAAGCAGAAACAGGTATAGAATTAAGATATTGCTGATCCACTCTAGTGTAGTTTGTAGTGTAGTCTCTGACAGGCAGTGGGATTTTCCATGGATGGGTTGTGGTTTTGAGGGAGATTTTAGAAACCATTAAACCATTTATAAAACAAAACAAAATAAAAAAGTGTTAACACATAGAT